CCCCCCCCCCCCCCCCCCGAGCATGTGTGTTTAAAAAACAAAACAAAACAAAAAAACCCCCTTCTGTCCTGTGTTGTTCTCTTCCTTGGGAATCCCTTTGGAGCCCGCCCAGGTTGATCCTGGGAATGACTATGGAATGACTTAAGGGAAGGAAGCCTGCTGCATTTACAAGGTGATCCCAGGCTCTATGTATAAATGGAACCTGGGCTGTCCTATTTTGGGCCACCTGAGTATTGGTGCAATACTGATTTTGATATAAATCTGTTTTTCTAACAGTTTTTAAAGAAACAAAAAATGCAGATTAGTTTTATCTTTATTCCCATAGGTGGAACTTGAAGCCAGATGGAACAAGGCTGACTTTCCTTTCACAATCGCACCCAAATTCATAAATTTTATTCTGGTGATTGTGGTGATGATAATAGTGAATCCCCATTCAGAATATCCTTGGCTTTCTCTGTTTCTCTCTGTATCCCTGCAGCAAATAACCCATTTGTAATTCTGCTGATCCTTCTTGGCAAAAATAGGCAGTAGTCATGCTGATGCCAGTCTTAAATCTGAAACTTTTTGATCTTTCTTTCTCTTTTTTCAGGATGCCATTAAAGATGTGCATGTAAAAGGAATGATGTACCAGTGGATTGAGAAAGATATGGGTCAGTAACATTTTCCTGAATCTGATCTTGATTTTTTTTTTTTGTGTGTGTGCATGTTTTCTTTATTCTAAGTGTAAGAATTCAATAAAATATCTGTGTAACTACATCATTAACTTCACAGTGGTATTGGCAGACTGAATTGCTGCTAACAGCTATCCAAGGAGTAGAAATTTTGGTACTGACCAAAAGAGTAGTTGCTTCATTCTTCTGTATTTTTTTTGTTGCGAGTAAAGAATACCAGTAATTGAAGGTAAAACATACCATAAAGGAAACCAGTAGCTATTAAAGACTGTATCTTTTCACTGTAGATTCATATAAGCTATCAGGTAATAATGGTGTGTTTGTTTTTTTTGTTTGTTTGTTTTTTTTTTACCTTTTGGCATGCTGTGATCCTTCTGCACTTTAACCGTTTCAAAGTTCTTATTTTGTTGCTATTGCAGCTCTGTCTATCTTACCTTACTGGAAGATTGTGACACTGTGTCCAAGCATAAAGATGTCTGTATTCCTATGAAAATTATGATCAATATCATATTTAACCTTCTTAAATTATTTTTGGAAAAGTTGAGATTCTTGAAAGCTTGGTTTTAATAATAATAATAATAATACAATTTTGTGGTTTTTGATACAGAAAAGTACATTCTCCATGGAGATGAAACTTATGCTGTACTAAACCGACTGGTTAATCATAACAAGAAGCTTTTCCTCATCACAAACAGCCCATTTAGCTTTGTGTGAGTATATAATCGATTCATGCACTGTAAATTGATAGGCTATAGCTACATGTTTTGTATAGCAAACCTCACTGCATTTAAACTCCCAGAGAGGGTCTTTCAATAAGTTGTATGTTTCAGTGGGCAGACAAGGTTCTTTGGGTGAATCTGATCTCTCTTATTAGACCAACTTAAATAGTTGGAAAACAATTTTTAAGCAAGCTTTTGGGTTCAAAAACCCTTCGTCAGGCTAAGGAAGTATCAGCAGTTGGTGTGTGCTATTCCTGGTTGGAATGAAAAGTAAAGAAGCCAGAGGCTGGGCTGGTATGCATACAAGACAGGTAGTCAGTGAAAATGTACTTTCTGAGAAGGAAGCTTTTGGGGGAGTAGCTTATGGTAAAAGCTATATATGTATTATATAAAAATAAAAATACCACTGCGGTCTCTGCTTCAGTTCTTTTGTTTTGTTTGAGGAACCGGTATGTTTCTGCTCTTTCTTTTGGAATTATGGCTAGCCAGTGTTTTGCCATTGGTTTTTCTGTTAATTCTGACAGCAACACCTCTGAACTGGCATGCTTGGTCTATTACCTGAAGGCATAGGGTTGGGGTCTGAGCTTTGCTGGTAGAGGAGAGAGAATCCCTTGCTGGCAATAGCAGAAGATAGTGATCACTTGCTATAAATATGAAAGCATTGTGCAGCTCTTACATGCAGTACAATGGAATCAGAGGTTTATGAAGTCTCTGTGCTTCAAGACTGAACAAGTACATTTTTATTTTAAGCCAAACTAAAAAAGCCTTATGGAATTTACTCAAAGGAAGGTATGGGGGAAACAGATATGTATTGGAAGGAATTGCTTACCTGTTGACTTTTTTCACTTGCTCTTCTTCAGAGATAAAGGAATGAAACACATGGTCGGCAAGAATTGGCGGGACCTCTTTGACATGGTCATTGTGCAAGCTGATAAACCCAACTTCTTCACTGATAGACGCAAGTACGTTTCATTGCAGTTTATTGCATTACTTCATCCAAGTTGAACATTCCTCTCTCTCTCCCTGCCTCACCTCAAAAAATTTGTCCTGTGACCTGCGTTCATGGGTAATGTGTAGAATTAAAAATTGCAGGCCTGATTTAGGATGGGTTCCCTCATGCTTGTCTCAGATATTCATTAGCCAAATGCATCTGTTCGGGCACACAGCTCTGTTAATAAATTCTGTGGAAATCTGAAGCAGAAAGTGCATTTCTAAAACATTGGCTCCTTCAGTGTTTAACTGATATTGTAATGCTATTTATTTTGACATAAACATAATTAAAGCCTTATCATGATTAAATCAGCCAGAAGAAAGGGAAAGGGCAGAATACTTCTTACAAAAGCTGAATGCCTTGTGATTTAACTTTGTCAGATTCTCTCCTTTCTGCTGCCTTTTTTAACAAGGCTTCAAACAATTGGTAATATAATTTTTTGGCTGGATGTTTGGGCATTATTGCTTTGTTTGTGTATTCAGTAACTCTCAAGTTTTGCCCTCCCCTCTCCCATTCCCCGTTGCAGCTTAGCCCAGGATTCAATATTTGGAGCCACTCTGGAGTTGCATTTTAATAGGGAACTTTCCCATAAAGTGGGATTTCCCTGTGTTGAGGGATGAGAGGGGCTAGAAGCTGGTTCCCCTGGTCAGGACCTGCGCCACAGATTTGCTCCAGTATCTCTACTAGTATCCTAGCATTGCTGCTGTTTTGCTGACGGCTCCATGCAAGGTATCTTCAAAGTTGTTTTTTCAAGGGCCATTTTTAAAGCACCTCAAAAGGAGATCTGTTTCAGTGATGTACATCTCTACCTTCACTTTTTAGAGCACTTTAGAGCCACTTGGAACACAACACATGTCACAGCTGATCATACCTTCAGTTCTTGGTGGTTATGTGTACTCTTTACAAAACACGCTTTGTAATTTAGAACTGACAGGTTTATCAAGGTATATGGTATAATAGTCATGAAGAAAAGATAGTTCAGGGCATAAGTAAACTGGGAGGTCACTAAGAACCTTTGCTACCACTGTCTATAATGTAAGTATCCGCTAGCTGAAAAAAGAACAAAATCTAATGCTGTAAATCTAGCATCTTTCATCTGCATTAAATTTACTGTATAACTAATTACCTAGGAATATAAATATTCTTATCAATCTATATTGAATTAGTATGAATATGGAGTTGTGCTTTCTAACCTGGAGAAGACCATATCTCAATGCTAACTGCAGAAACAATGAATGTGTTTAAGATAATTAACTTTTAACAGTCTTTTTTGACATCAAGTAAGCAGTTCGGAAAAAAACCTAGATACAATACCAAGTTGTGGTCACAATTAGTTAATTTGCTGCCCCACTTCCCCAGATCATCAATAGGATGTGCCCCTTGCAACCGTGTAAAATTCTGCCCAATACACACTTATATCAAAGACCCCCTGGAACAATATGGACGGCACCTTCTGCAAGAACATGCATAGTTATCGTTGTTACTTGGATCTTTTTTGAGAAATAACCAAACTACTGCACCTTATTTTTAGATATGTCTTCAATTTTAAGTGAAGCTTTTAAGTGTTCGTCTCCAGTCAGTGTTCTTTTGTAAACTCAGCTCAAGGACTTTGTATTGCCATACCCACCTACAAATGAATTATAAAATGGTTACAATCCTTCTACTTGTTCTCTACCACCAAACTTTACTGTTACTCTTATGTTTTTTTTATGTGATTTGAAACCATTTTAGAGCATTATAGTGGGTGAGGGAAGTTAATGACCTATGAATGATCAAATTTTGTTTCTGTAACTTATGTTTGGAACTTTGATTAGTGCCCCTCCAACTTTTTAAATAAGTCTAATGATAATTAATCTAACATAAATTTTGAAAGTGGAGCAGTCCAGATGACTTAAGGTTCTAAGAATTATTGGTGCAGAACTTTGGTGTTTGTATACCAGGTGGAAGTAGTATTGCACAATATTGTCTATTTTCATTTGAGCATGAGCTTGTGCTCCCACTCATGTTCTCAGTATCCTTAAAATCTGCTCAAAGGTAGGCACTTCATTTCTCACTTGCTTTAAGGCTTAAGGAAGTAATTAATGGTACATTATTAGCTTATTAAATGCATATAAACATAATCCTTTCTTTGTTTTAAATCAGTATCTTGATTTAAATGAGGAAGACAAACATTATGGAAAAGATGATTTGAGGTTGAAGATTACATTTAAATTTAGCTAAAGGACTGACAGGTTTTGGGGGGAGAATCCTAAAATTGTTTCGAACCCGGGTTCTCATCCAGCCCACGGGCCTATAAGGATGAGTGGCTAAGAGTGTATGCTCAAAACTTTGACCCCAGCTTCCTCCGGTCACTTGCTGGTTCTTTTGGGGTTCTTGCTGATTCCTTCTTCATCTCCAAGGTCTTGCTTCTGCCTTGTCTCCTGACAATAGCTGGTGGGCTGCATCTTGTTCTTCTTACACAGTGGGCTCTATACTCTACAACACTATGACCTTGTTAGAAAACTGCTTGCCTAAGCATTTGCAATGTTATTTTTAATATATCATTTTGCCTTGTGGTCAGTAGCTTTGCTGAGACAGAGTAAAGCCTTGTATTTGGCTGCAAATCCAATGCTCCCCAAGATCCAAATATAGTCACCCTAACACTCCCTTACAGAATTAATATAGGCTGCAAAAGAGAAACCCAGTCAATTCTCCAGAGGTCATCACTCTCTCTGCACAATACACCCCTTGGGCCTAGCAAGGTAGATGGTGTTTTTGCATTACTTGGACAGAAGACTGACGTTTTTGCCTATTGTTGGTAACTAGTGAGAGAGTGCTTAGGCTTCTCACTTTCCAGCCTGGGACTGAGCCAGGAACAGGGACGATGGTACCCTAAGTAATTTCCTTCTTTTTGTTGGCGTGAATATGCAGCTGAATATTACCTGGATGCTTGGTGGTGTTGTTATAGTACTACTAGTACCTTTCCATCTTGTAAAAATTTGGATAAGTTTTAAGGGTTAGGACTTTTTTAACTTGCCATGGAAACTAGGTATGCTGTTTGTACAGGGGGGCCCTGGTCTTCCTTAGGATTCTGTCACTTTACTTTACTTTGTGTTCCTAATTTTTGCACAAATTTGGGGAATTAATAAAATTACATTACTATTTCTGTTATACAAACTAAAATATATTAATTTTAACACAAACAAAACAAAAGGGGTTTGAAAAGGAAACTAAGGATAACAAAACAAATAATTCGGTAGCCTTGATCTTTGGCATGGCTGAACTCTGCAAGGTCATGGGGGTGATGCTTTGCATGATGCATCATTTTTGTAGCCACTCTTCAGGTATTTCATAGCTTTTCAAGGAGTTTTGCTTTACGTTTCATAGTCCAGCATAGTTGACACCACAATCATTTATAGTAATAACATTTTACAGACATAGTAAAACACAATTATTACACATAACACAGTTAAGCTTGATTTCTTTCTTGTATCCAGCAAACTTCACGATGCTTCAGTGGTGGTTCTATCCTGTAAAACACAAGGACAAAAAGGGAGGGTCTACCCCTCTTGGTTAGTTTATTCTTCCTATACACTGTGGCTGGCTTTGCTTCTGGTCGTCTTCACTTCTTATGGGCACAGTCTCTGACTTCTGGGCTCCTTGGCCTCCCTTCTGGTTAGTTGAGATTGCAGGCTCCTGGCTCTTGCAGCTCTAACAGTGATCTTTGTTTGTTCCCCTTCTCTGGACTGCCAGATTACTTGGCCTTTTAGGGCTCTGCAGACTCTTTATTAGATCTTTTTTTAGCAACTCTTCAAAATCCTAACACTTTTTCTAGGCTTTACTTAACTTGTAGTTTTCCTTTTCTTAACAGATCTTAACCATATCCTTTCTGGGCTACAGGCTTCATAATCAGTTTTCATCAGTGGCCCATTCTTGCCTTGCTCTTTGCAAACTAATTTATTCATGAAATCTCTCTCTTACAGCTGTACAACCCAACAGGCTTCACTTCAGGACCAAGAAAGTTCCCCTGAAAGACTAAGACCGTGGGTGACAAATTACATGCTACACACAATCCCTTTCAATAAAACTTACTTCCTACCTTAAAAAGGAAACATTTAAACTATGCCTCTGCAGAGGGGGGAAAAAAACATGCCTCTGATAAGCTCACATTTGTGTTGCTGCTTTTTTGTCCCAGGACATGCTCCTGCATGCACGTTCTGGTGCATGGCAAGTTGACTCAGGTTGGGTAGAGGAAGCTTACTTGGGAGCTTCCTGGGTCAGCAACAGTGCTGATCCAGCCACTCAGAACTCTGTTTCTGGTAGCTGCCATGTGCGCTGCACCTCTCTTTTTATTGGTGGGGTTTTTGTTTATTTGTTTGACACCAGGATCCACTAGTTTCAAATTTTGGTGCTGCACTGCAAATGAGCACAGTGAATGGGTGCACATGCACTGCATGTGGTTTGTGACGCCTCAAACAGCTTTGAGGCTCCGCAAATCACATGTGCATGCTCATCAGAACATGCCCTAGGATTCTGTTTCAGGGACTGTTTATTATTGGGGAATTTAAGAGCAGTGTATATTGTTCCACAATAAGGCAGTAGTCAAAGTAGAATGTTCTTTGAAGTCCTTTGGGGCAGAAGGCCTCATAGCTGTATGTACTGTTTGAAGTTGATTTCTTCAGCTTATAAAAAGGAGTGAAGATTTTTGGGACATCTGCTTTGGTGTGGAAGGATTGATTGCTTTTAAAAAATAAGATTGGACTAGATTATTATTCCTATGAGAAGGGTCTACATAGAGAGTAGAAAGGTCACATCTAACTTAATTCACTTGTGTACAGGTTTGCAAACAAGCAGCATGACTTGATCTTATAGCCCTATCTGGTAACAGCTAAATATGAGTTGTTTAGCCTTCTCCCATTCCTTTTCAGACCATTCAGAAAACTGGATGACAAAGGCTCACTGCAGTGGGACAAAATAAGCCAACTAGAAAAAGGGAAGATCTACAAAGAGGTAATACTTACTGTTTTGATTTACTTTTCTAATCATTCCTGGAATGACAGTGACTAATTTAGCTATATTAATTTTTGCGCATTGCTGGCAAAGCCCTGGAGCAGCATCCCTTAAGTAGAAAACCTATAATAATGTGAGGAGGTGCAGTCTGCAGCCCTCCTCCCTCTGCCAATCTGGCCCGCTGTTTCTGCTGCAGTGTTTCAGATGGGGTTGAGCCCTGCCCACTTTCACCTGGGACAGACCACCAGATGATCCCAGTCATGCACAGCTTCTCAAGAGGGCTCATTGTGGTGTGGCTTCAGCTGCCCAAATGTTGCTCAGCACCCCGCTACCCCCAGTGGCTCCTCTTCCTCCTACTCAAGCCTCTGTTGCACTGTTTTGGGTAGGAGGGAAGTTGCAGCTGGGCAGCTCCTGCCCCAGCATGCAGGCCTCCAGCTCCTGGCTGCCTTCCACCCACTCTGCCTGCAGGGGGCTGCTCATTGCATCAGGCTGGTGGAGTGGGTGGAGGACAACTGGGACCTGGAGCCAGAGCCCCATGAGGTGGGGCAGGAGCTGCCTGGCTGCAGCTTCCCCCCCTTGCCTGGAGCTCCAGTTCCATTTCCTGACTGCCTATCATCTACTCTGCCAGCAGGTGGCTGCCTATTGAGCTGGGCAGGCAGAGTGGGTACAAAGCAACCAAGAGCTGGAGCCCCATGTGCAGTGGCAGGAGCTCTCTGGCTGTAGATTCCCCCCTGACTGGAGTGGCACAGCAGGGGCAGAAGCAGGGGGCAGTGGAGCAGCTGCTGCTGGAGGCAGGGGGAGCCAAAGAGCACCTGGGCAGCTGCAGCCACACTAGGAACAGCGCAGCCAGAAAGCTGTCCACTGGTCAGGGCCAGGATTGTTCAGCAGATGCAGACAGGAGAGCAGTATGGGCTGCCCCAGCAGGGCTCACCCCCATGTATAGCACTGCAGGCTGGAGCCATAGCTCCATCCAGCATCTGCCCTGGCAGTGCTTGCCCTAGCCCCTGTCCTATTCCTCCCCTTCCCACCTCCACCCTTCCAGCTGGTTCCTGGCATCTAGCTTATGGGCAGCCCCCCCCACATACACACCATGCCCCCCACACAAGTACCCCACTGTGCACACACCCCAATATATGAGAGACATTATTTTGAGCTATTACGCAGTTGTCGTGTGTGTGTGTGTGTGTATAATATATGTATGTGTGTATATACTACTTAAATCATGAATCGGGGGAAAAAAATATTTTGTGAAATCACATTAAAATATGTCATAGTACATGTTTGATTTTTAGTATATTATTTGTTTTTCATCTTTAAATTGTTAAAATGATATCTTCTAAAATATTTTGTGTGTAGTGCTTGACACCTTACCAAAAATCATTAAGTGTCTCTCCAGCCAAAATTGTCCACCTATGTGCTAAGATGATCTTGGTCTTAAGTGCAAGTCCTAGCTACAAAAGGTTGACATTAGCGGTGCACCGATACAGATTTTTGGGGCCGATACCGGTAGTTGATTTTTAGGGAGCCATATTGGCCGATACCGATCCAATTTCCAATACCAGCCTGGCAGCTTGAAGAGTTGCATGCAGCTGGTAAGTCTGGTGTGGGGGAAGGGAAGGGGTGTGAGGAGGCTGATCAGGGCCCCCATGGTGAGGGAGGAATAGGGCGGGGGCTAGGGCAAGCACTGCCAGGGCGGGTGCTGGGTGGAGCTATGGCTTGTCCGGGGGGCACAAGGAAAAGTGGAGGGGAAGTTCCCACTGCTGCCTGCTGCTCATCCGGGAGCAGCTGGTCCAGGGCTTGCCTGCTGGTCCAGTGCTTGCCTAGCAGTTCCCGCTGCTCCTCCCTCCATTTCTCTCACAGGTCATGGGGGAAGGGGTGGGGGGTGACCCTGGATTTGCATGGAGTGGGGCTGCACAGGGTGGGTGGTGGTGGCACTGGGAGGAGGGTTGTGGGGGGGTCTGGCAAATTTTGAGATGGCTGCAGCCCCCTTGTAGCACCCTCAGTGGTGCCGCTGCCAGCCCTGCATGCAACCTTACTCTGCTGGGGAGAGCCCACCCTGCCCCACCCCATGTGGATCTGGGGGTACACCCCCTGCCATGCCCTCCTGGATGAGCTGCTGGAGCTGTGGCAGGAGCCCCAGACCAGCAGCTCCTGGATGAGCAGCACACAGCTCTGTTCTGCATCTGCCCCACCCTGGCTGGGCAGCACTTGCCCCAGCCCCATTCCTCCCTCACTGCAGGGGCCCAGATCTTCCCTTCTTCCCTTCTACCACATCAGACTTACCAGCTTCACATAGCTCTCTAAACTGCCCTCCAGTGCTCCTTGCTGCCTACATGCTGTGCTGCAGCTGCGTGCATGCACGGGCTGTTTATTAGCCAAAATATCGACCATATCAGGCTGATTTCTGATACAGTCAATTCTCTTTATATCTGTGCCGATCCAATATACCAATGTATCAGTGCATCTGTAGTTGACACGTAACAGGAATTTGAATTGCTCTGGTAACAGCTGTTTAAGTGCATCAGCTTTAGAGAGAAGTATCCTGCCACAGCAGATCTGCTTCATTGGGCAAAGCATATTACCTATTGTCTTGCATTGGAGAGGGGCCCAATCTTGCAGGACAGTTTCTCCCCACTTAGAGAGATGCCTCAGATTCCCTTGGGCACCCTTCCACAGGCAATCTTCGAGACCACCTCTGTAAGTGTGGAAGGCTGGAGTTCTCTGCTTAATGATGCACTCTGGAGATTGCCTAGGACATGTCTCTGTAAGGTGGGTGGCTCGTCTGGGGGGTGAGTGGGGGCACTGGCTCCCTGTTGCTGTGTGCACTCCTGGGGATAGTTTGGGTGCTAGAGATGATCCATTAGGAAGGCATGGGGGGGACACATTCCCCCCCACCCCCAGATTTGGGTGTGGGAGGGTGGTGGATGTGGGCTGCCTGCTGCAGGGCCCCCCAGCTAGCTTCTTTCTCCCCCTGGGGGCCTCTGTGGTACAGCGGGTAGGACCTGACACAGGTGAGCAGAGTGGGGTGGGGAGGCTTAGTGCAGCTGTGGCTGAGAGCCCTGTGCCAGCCACACTGTCATGGTGAGTCATCCCTTGCCCACCCAACAGCAGGGGCGGGGGGGGGGGGGGGGGGAAGGGCGGGGGCCTCCGGTGAGGCGG